TGAGAGTCATCGCATTGGGGCTTGGAGAATCAACCAACATTATCCTTGTCCCCTGAACACTGTAGGATCTTGTTTGCTCACACTATTCCCTCTGTCTAGAACTTTCAGGCAGCAGGAACTAGGATTTCACCCCATTTACAAGGGAGTAAGTCAGCCTAGTGCTATTTCATTGGTGCCCATAGGTAACACGGGATTCTCGAGTCAGAGACAAAACAACAAAAGTGTGGTAGTTATGCCTGTTCCTCTGTCCTCAACCCTCACAGGGCAACATGAAGAGGGCCAGATGGGCACTGCACATGCATTGTGGCCGGGCTAAGAAGCACTGAACATGAGGATCCCACTGCTGCTCCCTCCACCACCATTCCTACTGTAAGCAGCCCTGGTCTTTGCAGGAAGAGCTCCCCTCATCTCTCAAGGTTGCTGGATGCATACACAACCCTGAGGAATGATTGGGTTAAACCTTGGCATCCCCAGCAGTAGCATTCGGAGCCTGTTGCTTCCAACAACAGCTATCTCCAGTGTCTGCTTGTCCATATTCTGTGCATGCTCAAATGACACCTGTGTTTGATGATCTCCCTAGCCCTTCCCTCACAGTGCTCTCTCCTTCCCTTTTCTTGCTTTCCTTGTAACCATCATCAATGGCTGTTTTTTTGCCCACAGCAGGCCCTGCAGGGTGCAAACACACAGTCCACGTCATTTCTGCCTGCCACACCTAGGTGTTTGCAACTGGCAGGTGCTTAGACCAGATTTGTTCAGTTGGATAGAATCAAGGTCTTTCTGCACATTTATGCTTTTCCAGAGTCTGCTCCACTGCCTTTGAAGGGTTCCAAAATTCCAGAGGCTAAAAATAACGTCCCAAAGCCACTACAGAGATCTTCCTTCTAAGGAGCGACTTGGTTCCTGAGGCTCAAAGTTTATGCCCACCAGGTGGCGCACTGACCCTCACACGGCCTGATGCCTTTTTTAGAAAACGGAAAAGATTCTCCTAATGTTTGTTCCCTTAGGTCTCCTGCTCACAGAAATCCTGTCATCACTAGCTGGGAGGGGTGGCACATGCCTGTAGTCCCAGCACTTGGAAAGTTGAGACAGGTGGGTCGCCACGAGTTCAAGGCCAGCCTGGGCTACGCAGTGAATTCAAGGCCAGCCTGAACTACATAGTGAGACCCTGTCTCGAACAAACAAATCTTGTCATCAGTCTAGTACCCAGCTGAAGTTCCTGGCTGCCCATCTGACTCTCAGCTCTAGGGGAAATTAGCACACAGAGGAGACTCAGAATGTCCCTCCAGGTTGTACTAAGGGATGCTGAAGGAAAAGCCCTGAAACTGGGATCCTAAGACCTCGGTGTAAGTCCCAACACCCCACTTACAAATCGAGTTAATCAGTGTTTCACTGCTGGGGCAATACATCTGACACACACAGCTTACACGAGGAGAGAGTTAATTTGGCTCACAGAGTCAGAGGTTTCAGCCCGTGATCAGTTAGCTGTAAGGCAGAAACATCCTGGGGGGAGGACATGATGGAGGAATGTGCCCACCTGACAGGCACCTGGGAAGCAGAGCCAGAGAGGAAGAGCCAGCGGCCAGATATACCCCAGTTCACCCCCCAGACCCACCCAGAAGTGCGTCTCTAGCCAATCAAGTTAATAATCAAGATTAACCACCACAAAAGTTGAATTTCTTTAGGCGAGTATCTTAACCTTTCTCGGTTCCTGTGAGAAAGGAAAATGTGGGGAATACACAGAAGTACTCGGAATGTGGGTGTGGAGTCAGCCTCACTGGGCTCCTGCTTAAACGGTCCCTACCAGTTCTGTGAACATGGTCAGTTCCTCCAAACCTATAAGCCCTGCTTTCTCTGTCAGTGAATCAGAGCTAATAACAAATATTTTATAGAACTGGTGTAAAGATCAAGTAGAACAATGAATATAGAATGCTTGTCATAGCGCCTAGTGTACAGGAGGCATTCAATGAATAGAAACCACATATATATTTTGTATTCTTAGCCCCTAAAATGGTCCCCAGCACTTAGCAAATGCTTAATCTCAGTATCATCTGCTGAGTTAAAAAATTTACAGATGAAGAAACAGAGGCACAATGAGGTTAAGCAGCCCTTCCTTCCAGGTCCTGGCAGGAGCAGTGAAGCAATGATGCACAGCCAAACAATCTGACTCCGAAGCTTCTATCACGCCATGCTATCTTACACAGATGTTGGGTTAAACACCACCATTTGTTCATTAAAATAGACCCTTGGCGCTTTCTCAAGCACCCATATGTGGGCTGAGTTGGCAGTGCAGGAATTAGCCCCCACCAAGAAACCGGTTTCTTTCTCCAGAAGGGAACCAGACTGCTAGAACAGACACCTGCTCAGCCTGGCCAGGGGCTGGTGCATTCGTCTTAATGACTGGAAGATGAAGGACTAGCTCTGCAGCGTAGAGTCAGCCACAGCTCCAATGCAAGCATGGTCCCTGGGGTAAGAGGGACCCTCTCAGTTCCACTGCTGTTCCTGGAGCCACTCAGACATCAACTGCATTTATATCTGTGGGGGGCGAGGGAGGTGTCTCCTATATACCTGGTCCAGGCAAAGATGGACTAGACACAATAACCAATGGTTACCATGTGGCAGTCTCAAAACTACTGCAGCAGGATGGTCCAAATGGAGGCTTAGGCAAGCAAGTACAAAAGCTGGAGGTTGGGGGAGGTGTGTGCTGCATGCAAGCTGGCAGCGTTTAGCTTGGACACTGAGGGAGTAGTTTTCTAGCCAAGTTGGGTCTAGGAATGAAGAGTATTCTGAGCTTATTTGGGGGAATTTAAGAGGATTGGTGGTGTTGGCATCTGGGGGCATGAGGGAGTGTAAGGAAAGAAATGCAAATGGAGTGTAACGAAGGAAGTGGAAAACCAGGCAGTTGGAAGTTGGTTGGGGACAGATTGTGAAATATACCGCCTGGAAGAGACAGACGTCTATCTCGTGGTCAGTGAGGAAAGCAGTGTAATGAACAACCTGGTCTGTTTCAGAAGGTTGTGGAAGCACACAAAAGCTGGATCTGGCCAAGCCAGCACTCGGGAGGCCAAGGCAGGAGGATCATTATGATTCTGAGGCCAGCCTGGACTAAGTAGCAAGACTCTGTCTAAAACAAAACAAAACAAAACAAAACAAAACAAAACATTGGATCAGAAGGGATGAGAAGAGAGATCAGCAATAACCGCTAGTTTCAGGAAACTGAGCCGGTCCAAGCTTTGTTTTGCTGTTCACAACGAGAGAAATGCCTTTCTATCTCTTGGGCTGTTCTGAGGCTTAAGGAGAAGCACAAATAGCATTGGCACAGGTTCTAATAATAGAGGCGCAGCGCTGAGTTCACCACAGGCCTGCTGGCCGAGTAGTTAAGCACATGGGCCTTGTTTTCTCTTGGGCTAGGTTTGTATCCTGGCCACCATAGTTGGCACATTTTTAATGTAGGCAAGAAGAGAAGATGGCCAGCATGGGGTTGGATAAAAGGGTGGGGTTGCTAAGTTTTGTGCCCTGGGGGAGGGGTAGTGGAGCCTCTGATGCGTACCTGGGAACTCAGTAATGAACGTGGCAGTCTGAGCCCACAGTAGGACAGGATGAGCTCGCTGAGGGCATGGGCAGTCTAGGACCAGTAATGTTCTTCTCGCTGCCCAGGTAGGGGCAAGGGCGCTCAGAGGAAAGAAAGGGGTCGGTAAAAGCCTGGGAGAACTCTAGAGAAGAGGGCCTCCTCCTCGAAGCCAGGCAGGGTGAGCAGGCAGGATGCATAGCGGCGGACCCAGATGTGCCAAGCTTGGCTCAGCGGCTTGGGCGGGCCGCTCCAGGGGGTGCGGTGCACTCCGTCTTACCCTGGGGACGAAGAAATCTGAGCAGGGAGTCTGGCGCGGGAGAAAGGGGGACGCCAGGGGGAGAAAGGGGAGCCAGAAAGAAAGAGATGGCAGGAAGCTGGGAGGAGGGAGCGGGGGTGGAGACCACGGAGGGGAAGGGGAAAGGGCGGGTAAGAGGGGTGGAGAGAGGCAGAAGACCGGAGGGAAAGAGGGTGGGGACAAGCAGAGAAGCCAAAGAAAGGACTAGAGGGAGCCAGGGCGCAGGCCGCGGCGGGCGCAGC